GTATGTATGATCTTTCTATCAAACACAACTACGAAAACTACCCGCAAAAAAAAACACAACTATGGAAACTGAATGTATCCCTATTGCTGATAGGTATGTAGGTTTTTTCTATCGAACACAACTATGAAATCTACCCAGAAAAAAAAAAGAACACAACTATGAAAGCTGAATGTATCCCTATTGCTAGCTAATAAATTCACTCTTTATCCAAAAAGAAAGTAAACGGGGTCTTTCTAATCTAATTTGAACTTGGATTCAAAAGAAAGCGGCTAGAATTCAAAAAAGAATTCACTTCCTTTGATGCTTCCACTTTGGTTTACTGGTTGTACTACATAAAGCTCTGATCAACTTCTCCCGCACGGCATCAACCGGAGTCGAGGGCCGCAGCCTCGCCGGCAGGGATGCAGGGGGCAGGAAGGCTCCTTGTCGGCGCCGGAGGGTGACGGCGGCCGAATGGTGAGGGACAACCCGACAGTTGCCGCCCTCTCAGCGCTCCTTGCCCGCTCCGCTTCTCTGTCCGCGGCTGCGGCGCTCCACGCCCGCCTGCTCCGCACCTCGCGCCTCTTCAGCCACCCCTTCCTCGCCAACTGCCTCGCTGCCGCTTACTCCCGCCTCGGCGCCACCCCTGCCGCCATTGCCCTGCTGACCCACGCGGCCGGCGTCGCAGCCAACCGCTTCTCGCACAACATCCTCCTCGCCGCGCTGCTCAAGTCCCGTGACCTCCCTGCGGCGCGGAGGCTGTTCGACGAAATGCCTCTCAGGGACACCGTGGCCTACAATTCCATGATCTCTGGCTACGCTCAAAGCGGGCGCGCAGACGAGGCGCTCCGGCTTGCGCGCAGGATGAGGGAGCTAGGCGTCAGGCCTAGCGCCTTCACCTTCTCCATTGTCTCGTCCGCGGTCTGCTCTGCTCCCCACGGGATGCAGGTTCATGCAGCTACCGTCCGTCACGGCTATGCCCAACACAATGTCGTCGTAGGCAACACGCTTGTTGACATGTATCGGCGTGTCGGCCTCTTGGAATATGCCATGCGTGTCTTTTGGAGTATGAATGAACTGGACATGGTTTCGCTGAATTCTGTCATGTCAGTGTACAAGGATGATGGCCAGAGCAGTGCGGTGTTTGAGTGTTTCCGGTTGACTAGAAGCCATGGGTTTTCGGTTGACGAATGCAGTGTGTCAACGGTGCTTGCCGCGTGCACAGATATCGAGGATTTGGCTAAGGGTGACCAGCTCTTGGCCCTTTGCGTCAAAACAGGGCTCCTGTCAAATTCTATCATCTGTAGTGCTGTGATCGGCCTATTGTCCATGTCTGACAGACTACCTGATGCCGTCAGGCTTTTCGAGGGACTAAAATGGGACTCAGAAACATGTAACGCAATGATATCGTGCTATGCCAGGAGTGGTTTAATGGAGCAAGCTCTGGGCCTCTTCGTGGTGGCTCTGCGAAATGCTGTTCTTCCAACTGAGTTCACTTTTGCAAGTGTGCTGAGATGGAGTTCGTGTTTTGGTCTGATGGAGCAGGGCAGCCAAATCCATGCGCTGGTATATAAATGTGGGTTTGAGGATGATATGATTGTTGCCACTGCTCTCATTGACATGTATTGTAAGTTAGGTTCCTTGAAGCATGCCAGGAAACTTTTCGATAGTGTTTGTGTCAAGGATTTGGTGTTATGGAATACCATGATCATTGGTCTATCGCAGAACGGGGGAGGTAGGGAAGCTCTTGGAGTGTTTTGGTGGATGCTGGACTGTGGTGTCAAGCCAGACAGAATTACTCTTTTCGGAGCTTTATCTGCTTGTAGCTTGGGAGGTCTGGTTAATGAAGCAATGGATATAATTTCCCTGTTTAAAGCCAAGTACCATGTCGTCCCTGGCCTGGAGCACTATGCATGTGTGGCTGACATGTTAAGCCGTGCAGGATTGTTTAGAGAGGCAGAAGATTTAGTCCAGCACAAGTTGCAGAAATGCAGTACTGCTGCCCTCCTCAATATTCTTCAGGCTTGCATGATTCAAGGGGATTTCGCCATGGCAGAGTCAATCGCAGAGAATATGTTGAAACTGAAGCCTCGATCGTCACTGCCATACACTGTTCTGGCTCGAACATATGGTGCAAGATGTAAATGGGAAAGCATGGCCAGGATGTGGAGGTCAATGGAAGCTTTAGGTGCAAAGAAGGTTGGGGAATGTAGCTGGCTCTGCATCAAGAATGAAATCCATGTGTTTACATCTGAACAAATATTGCATCAAGGAAGTGAAGCTACGTATGCAGTTTTAGATCTATTGTTCTGGGACATGATGGATGAGATCTCCATGATGGATTGCATTCATGCTCCTGGTTGTGTTGATATAATTCATACACAAGATCCCAAGAAGAGTAAGGGATTTGATTGCCTTCAGCAGTTCTTGGATTGCACTCTGTGAGCTGTGCAACTAACGGAATTATTCAGCTAGGACCGTCTCGCAATGGTCATGTGGTTACCTTGACTTGACAGTAAGGCAGCTTAAGCTACATATTGTTAAGCAGGCAAGCACTATGAGCACCAGGAAAAAGCCATTATCCCGAGAGGGTGCAGAAATCAGGTCATCCAGTATGTTGGCAAAGAACAGTGATCAGGTTTTACTTCGTGTTCATATATGGTGATGCGTATAGTATGTTGTCTTACAGATTGATTAATTTACTTGTCTTACAGACTGATTAATTTACTTGACATCTTTTTGCTACAGATATTGTACGCAGGTTGGTGGTGATCTCTTGTTAGAATTGCATAGGATTTTGCCATCGGGCGGTTACTTAGCGTGATCTGATAGACTGTTACTCTATGGATAATAGAACTTGCATGCCGTTGTCGATGCCACCACGGTCCACGGGCCAGAAGCACATGTGGACAGTGTCCAGTTGCGACCAGGGCAGGCAACTGGCCCGAAGCACCTATGGGGTCATCTACAACTGATGCTAGTGATAGCCTGATAGGCATTTGGAGAGCTACCTGACATGGGGTTTGACAGTACCACAATCAAAGAAAGGACATAGCAAGTTTCCAAAGGTGCTGTTGCTTCTTGCAACGTATCTTGGCAGATCGATGCAGAACGCATTTTCAAGTACGCCGAGTGCAGGCCATCTTGCTTTGTGTTGGCACTAGTGTACATGGAGAGATAGCTAGCAAGCAAATGTGCAAATGACGCCCTTTAGTGTTCATCGCTTGCTAATTACAAGTGTGGTGGTTGCTGCCAGATTCACTGATGATGCGTAAGTACCCACTGCCACAGCAACTGCAATTGTACTATCTGTATATCACAAACATGCCCAGGTTTCCCAGTAATACATGTGTTGCAGGTTTTTCAACAGTGCATTCTACGCTAGGGTGGGAGGAATAAGTGCATTCGAGATGAAGCGGCTTGAGTTGGATTTGTTGTTTAATCTGGACTTCAGGCTGAAGGTGAACCTGGAGTCATTTGGGAGCTGCTGCTTGCAGCTGGAGAAACATGCAGCGGGTTCACTAGAGAGGCTGCCGGTTCAGGTTCATTGTGTCAATGGATGAAAAAGATTGAGCTGTAGTGGTAGTGTCAGTGAGTTTTGCTAGAGCAAGCTATGTAGGGCCTACAGTTTTGCAAAGCATGGGACCTGATTACTGATTATTCTTTTAGATCTGATGTTTGTGCGAGCAGATTACATAAATTATTTTACTTCTACAACAGTTAATTCCTGTAAACCAGTCCGTTCATCCGTTTAAATTTTCACCACCGAGTTGGGAAACAGTATTCAATCCTATGTCATGTCGGCAGATGAATCTGGCTTTTCCAAGATCTGTTGATGGCTTGTGTTCTTTACATGCTGATTCTATTGAGTCGCATAACAGGATCTGTCATGATTTTCACTGGTTCCTGTCGGCAGGTGAACCAAGAACTAACAAATTGACTACTGGATTGTTGCAACCAGCAGTAGCATGGAAACAAATTACTAGAACTTGCTTAGCAAGGAAACAGAACCAACAGGCAACAACAGACTACTATTCAGACGCAAGCAAATTCAAGTCAGAATTATTGAGTCATGTAACATATATATATCATTCCAAACAAATGATATGAATATCTGGAACCTAGTTTTCTTACCAGTAAGATAGGCAAGCAGCTTCTAGGAGGGAAAGAGCATCCAGACTGATGCCAAAGGCTAATCCAACCAACCAACCCGTCAGGGTATAATTATACACAACCCTAAAAGTAGACATTTATCATCGCCAAGAGAACCCTAACACAAGTTACAAGTTCTCTTATCAACACAAGCTCCCACTCCCAGCCATGGTTGGTCTTCTCCGAGGAAGCAAGAGTACCCACCACATTCCTTCAGCATCCCGGTTCCGCACCGCTGTTTCAACACTCCAAACCGATCTTCTTCACCTCCCAAGCACGCACGCCCCCCTTAGAGGACGGACATTCTCCTCTTGGCGTTGAACACCCGCTGCGCATTGCCGAATCTCCCTGCCATTATCTGCTCACGCAGAGCTGGATCAAAGATGCCAGTACCAGACGTCAGGGAAGTTGTTCTTGCCGGAGCAGGTGAACCAAGAGCTACTCTTTTCTGGATACTGAAGCATAGCTTGCTGGCATTTCCAGACCCTGACTGCTGCCTAAACCTCTGCTGTGGAGACGAGATATTGTTCCTTGACCTCTGCTGTGGAGACGAGATATTGTTCCTTGACTTCCGCATGGACAGCGTTGGAGGGCTTGAGAACCTGCTGCTGCTGCCGAACTCCATTCTTCTAAACTTTCCTCTGACATCTGGAGTTGCGTCGACTGCTGCCTGTGGTGTTTCTGGGATTGAGTTAAAAGTCGCCTGTGGTCTTGCTGTTCTTGACATTTGGACATGGGACAGCCGTGACATTGCCTTCTTCTCGGGAAATATGGACATCCGCTCTCTCTCGCTTGGTAGGATCGCGATCGAGGATCGCCTCTTAGGCTGGAGAGGGATCTGTCGCATCATGGGAACCAAAGATACACGCCGTGCTTTGCCAGCAGTCTTGTCCACAATGGTTTTGTTCGTCGTAGGGATGTTCTCTTTGTTCTGAACTGAAGATCCCTTACCAGCGAACCTCACTCTGGAAGGGCCTGAAGGTTGTGGCATGTTGTTGCTTGGTGGTCTCTGCCTCATAGGAGCAAGTGGTGGTCTCTGCCTCACAGGAGCGGCAAATGATGGCTTCGTGGATTTACCCGTATCCCTCGCAGCCTTCTTCTCATTAGCTAATTCATTCTCCAGCTCTCTAGCCTGTACAAATAGAACTGTCATAAACACAGACCAGCATAGGAAAATACATGCTGATGAGTTCTGCAGGCTTGCTCAAGCAAGCAGAACTGAATCTCTTACTTACCCGCTGCTGATGAGTTCTGCAGGCTTGCTCAGTCTCCCTTATCTGTTGCACAGCATTCATATATGTTAAAAACTTAGTTCCATATATGAATTGTTTTTTTTTTGTTTTTTTAATGAATTGGTTTTTAGTCTGTCAGTTAGCAATTATGGTTGGCACCACATACCTTATCTTGAAGAGTTCTGAAGACATTCTCACGAGAAGCATACTTGAGTTGCATCAGTTGCAAGCTTTCGTTCAACTTCGCATTTTCCTTTTCCTCATGACAGAGCTTTTCGGCCTGGAACAATTTCCAGTTAATACAATAGCTGAATCATGTTATAATTAGTCAACAAGGTCAGAAATAAAGTACCATCTGCTTGATCTTGAAATTTTCAGCTGGATCCACTTGTTTACGGGCAGGGCCATGTTCAATAGCTCGAACTCTACTAGCAAAATTTAGTGAGCACAAAGTTTCTCCTGAATCTGTAGAGCTTGGACTTATCTGCACAAACATAAGTGTCTTGCAATCTCCACCTGCAACAGTTAATGCAAGGTGAACACTCTTTATCTCTTCATTTTTGTCTTTAGACATTCCAGTGCATAAGCAAGTTCAATAAAAGGAGACATAATCATAACCATTTAGCTAGAAATCAGTGCACTTGCACAACTCTTTTAGAAAGTCCCTTACCTAATGAGCTTTGGAGCAGATGAGTTAGCTTGGAGTTCCTACATTTGACAGAAAAGAGTAGTGGTAAGACTCAGCTGAGGGTATTGCTTCTTTTAGTAACTGAGCAAGGCAGATGTTGAAGCATGTGGATAATAAATAAGACTGACCGATATGGGATGTGGGCATTTTTGGAGGCAAGGGCAGCGATAACATCACCCAGTGCAGAGAGTGACTTGTTGATGAACTTTGCCTCCTTCAGCCTCTCTCCTTCTACTTCAGTTTTAGCCAAGCGCTCACTTCCAGCAAGGTCAACCAACCACATGTGGCTTCTGCTCCTTTCCCCAGTCACCAAATGCTCACTTGTAACGGTGACCCTAACCAAGCTGTAAGTACAACAGAAGTCCAGATATCATTATCCCATTGCTGAAATAATGTCATTACTATGTCAAGTATACTAATATTAATCAGGAGTAGTTGTTAACAGTCAATCATGAGTTGAATTAATTAGAACGAGTGTCATACAAGTGTAGAAACGATACCTATGGGAGCGACTGCTCAGTTCATTGACACTGGTTGATCCAACAGATCTATTTCTAGCGCCAGCTTTCAGTTTCTCCCACACACCATCTATTGTAGAAATTGGAGCTTCAACCAAGCCAGGCACCTCTTGTGCCCCATCAGCACTTTGCTTTATGTCCAACCTTCAGATGCAACATGATATTAAGCTCCATTCCTTACTACAGAGTCAGGATAAATGATAAGAAACAAGATGTACCTTTTTGATGTTTGTTCAGAGTTCTCATCAAGAAGGTCCCTGATTTTTTCATTATAGACTTCCAAGATACTCACACCAAATGAGTACGAGACAGATGAGCTTCTCTCCTCTGAGATCCTGAACAGTTCTTCAAGAGCCCTATAATTAACACCCCTATTCTCTGGAACACCTTCCATAGTGAAGGTTTTCCCTGTTCCGGTTTGCCCATATGCGAAGATGCATACATTGAAACCATCCATCACTGACCTCACGACTGGCAGGCTCTCAGCAAATACAGCCTCTGAAGGAATATAAAATCAGGGATATAAAATCCCATTAGATTCATTGAAACCATCCATCCCATTAGATTCAACATCCTTCAACTATATAATCATGTAGTGATCTAAAAGATCTTATAATACTTTACAGACGGAATATAAAATAGATTCGGAGAAGGAATGCATATGCAATTAGTTCAATCAAATTATTACTACAACATATTGCCTGGGATATGCAATTAACCTCCATGTCATATCACAAAACTATGAATCTGAAACATAGGTTAGGGTATATGTCAAGCAGAGTAAGGACAGTAAATACCTTGATCATCAGCCGGTCCAAAAACATGGTCAAATTTAAAGGTCTTCCTCTCTTTTTC